TACCTACTCCTTTCTAGCAAATATCATTTCTATAGATACTTGATCAGAATGGTCTGGTTGGACTACATCACTCCATGAGAAGACACTACATCTATTTTATATCCTACTAGAGGCCTGCTGCATGAATTCGTGCACGGGTGGGGTCCCCCGGCCTGGCTGGCAATTGGGGCCGATTGGGACCGCAGGAAGTTGGCCGGCCTGGGAGAGGAGTTGCAGGAGGTTGGCCAGCCTCAGGAGGTTGGCTGTGGGAGCACACTGACCACCAGGGGACAGCTCCTATGTTGAGCGTTTGCCACCTGGTGGGCAGTGCACGTCATAGCAATTGGTTGTTCGGTTGCTTAGGCTTTTTTTTTTAATATATACTAGAGGCCCAGTGCATGAGGCAGAGGGTCCCTCAGCCTGGCCTGCACCCTTTTGCAATATGGGACCCCTTAGGGGATGTCCAACTACCGGTTTAGGCCCGAAACCAGCAGTTGAACATCCCTCTCACAATCCAGGACTGATGGCTCCTAACCACTGTCCTGCCTGCCTGCCTGATCATCCCTAACCGCCTCTGCCTGCCTGACCACCCCTAACCACCCACCTCTGCCTGCCTGCCTGATGGCCCCTAACTGCTCGTCTGCCTGCCTGATTGCCCCTAACCACTTGCCTACCTGCCTGATCGCCCCTAATTGTTTGCCTGCTTGCCTGATCGCCCCTAACTGCCTCTGCCCCTGCTGTGGTGGCTTTGTTAGGAAGGACGTCCAGAATGACATCCAGAAGGTCGTTCAGCTGTCTGGTCTAATTAGCGTATTACGCTTTTATTATTATAGATAGATTGTATTCCTAGTGTCCAACATAGGGATTGGTACATACTGGGCATTCAAAAAATACAAAAATTAGCAAAATTAGGTTTTCAGAAGACAAATATAAACTTAAAAATATTATTTTCTAAATTTATCTCTCTTAAAAAACTCTGGGAATGGGCAAGTCATATTTTGAAAGAAAACACAAACTGACCTCAATTATAAGAAATTTAGAAAGAAGAAATTTTGATAATTTAAAGAAAGGAAACAAAAATATTAGCATGGCTTTGAAAAAATGGGCAATTAATAAAACTACAAATTATTACTGCTACCCATTCAAGAATCTAAAGCATACTAATTCTAGAAACTAGTAGATATAAGATCTATGAAAATATAGATTGGAGATTTTAACAATTTGACAAGGACTTTTTAAAACTATCCCATCATATAATACCTTAAGCTTATTCCAATAGTAACCTTGTTCCCTTTGGGGGGTCACCTCACCATGGTAACAAAAAACTTTAAAACTATACATAGTAATGATACTTAGTTTTAGAACAAGTCAAATGTTTCAATTCCTGTTCCCTCACCCACATCAAGCCAGAACTACTGAAGTTCTGCTCTGCTGATGAAGAATTGGCTTTACAAGCATTTCCTTTTCCTGTGGTCCTAGCCAGATAGCAATAAAATATAGTAGGAATAAAAGAATCAAGAATCACGTAGGTCAAGCATGTCAAACTCATGGCCCATGGGCAGCATGTGGACCACAACAAATATTTTTGCGGCCCAGCCAATATAATGAAAGGTATCTAAGAAATGTTTTAATAGAAATTTCGTAACTTAATTTTTATAATATCCTGTTATACATAATTATTAATAACAAATTACAACATTCACTAATGACTGATTACTATAATCGTGTTGCATTCGTTTCCCTTATGCGTAAGTGCACCATTTCTCTCCACTAATACTAGCAGGGAATATTTTAGCAGCCAATTGCCACATCATTAGTCTTGGACCAACTTGTTTGGTGTGCGCAACAGGAAATAGTTCGCTTTTGGACAAGAAAAATCAGTTTATTTGCATTACGCTTATTCTATTGAAATATACCTACATTTCTATGAAAATTGAAGCTTTTTTTTTTTTGTGGCCCACATACACTTAACCCTTGTTTATTTGGCCTGTGTTAGCCTTTGAGTTTGACATGCTTGACCTAGGTAGAAGAGCTGAGAAAACCTCAAGAGTAGCAAAGCCAGACTTTAATCCAGTTTTCAATTGAAAGCGGAATGACATCATTGAAACTTATGGAAAGTCAAAAATTATTGGAATGAATAGATAGCTAATACCTGATTATTTAGGAATGACCATACAATGTAGAGCCTATTAATTTAATATTACTAATTTTTATTTCTCTTCTCGTTTTCCAAATACTTTGGGTTATATCACTGATACACACTAATAAACAGATTGACATAAAATATGTGTATGTGCCCTGGCCGGTAGCTCAATTGATTACAATGTCATCCCCAATATGCCAAGGTTGCAGGCTCAAACCCTAGTCAGGGCACATACAAGAATCAACCAATTGCCCGGCCGGTGTGGCTCAGGAGTTGAGCATTAACCTATGAACCAGGAGATCACAGGTGATTCCACGTGAGGGCATATGCCCAGGTTGTGGGCTCCATCCTCTGGAGGCAGATCAAAGATTCTCTCTGATCACTGATGTTTCTCTCTCTCTCTCTTTCTCCCTTCTTCTCTGAAATTAATAAAAACATATTTAAAAGAGAAAAAAAAAAACTAAGCAGAAAAATCCCATATATAGATATAAATCTTCCAATAAAAATTAAATTTTCAACAATTTTACTTCTAAATCATCAATAAAGATAGGTCAGTATGTATTTCAAAAAGTCATATTTAGAATAATACACCATATTAGATGAATTATATATAGATGAGTGCTACATACATCATAATACATCATATATAGATGAATGCTAACTAGTCAAGAAGTCTGCTAAGCTAAATTTATTTTTCATGTTCCTTTCAAATGTACTAAATTTATGATCTCAAAGAGTAGTAAGAATAGATGTAGAACAAAATTCCAAATCTATAATCGTTGACAGTGCTGAAAACCCAAAGCAATACTAAATTTTTTAAAAGGTAAGAATGGCCGAAACCGGTTTGGCTCAGTGGATAGAGCGTTGGCCTGAAGACTGAAAGGTCCCGGGTTCGATTCCGGTCAAGGGCATGTACCTTGGTTGCAGGCACATCCCCAGTGGGAGATGTGCAGGAGGCAGCTGATCGATGTTTCTAACTCTATCTCTCTCCCTTCCTCTCTGTAAAAAATCAATAAAAAAAAATATATATATATATATAAAAAAAGGTAAGAATGACTAACTTCACAAGATTCTGAAATGCAAAACCATCTGTCCATTGTTCAGTAAATGAAGCACCATGTCTAACTGTTGTGAAGTGTCCAAGGCGTAATCTGTCTTGCATACTCTTCTCCCGGCTTGACAGTTTTTCTTGGTTACTCTGAAAAAAGGAGGAAAAATTATTGCTCAATGATACTCGTTTAAATTTTAAAAGCATACAAGACAAAGGAGGCTAGTTAAAGGGAAGGGAAATTTTATCAAACTTTTAACTTACCTTTTCAATAAGCAATTTCTTGCTCATTGATATGCACTTATTTAATCGTTCTTTGTATTTTTCAAGTAATTTTTGTTGTTCATCTATTTGCCGTCTGAGATCACAGTTAGCCTATAAGAATAAGTAAAAAAATGGAAAAGATCTATAATTTGTATTTACGAGATACTTTGGAATATTTTTAACATTTTGAATAAATTACAGAAAGAAAAAGGATTAGTAATATTACATATTTGAATATGATAATAAAAAATTTTTGAAAAACACCTGCTTACCATGGGGTAGTACTATTAAATGCTGCTTGATTGTGTAGAGGAAAGTAAATGGAATTTGTATCCACACTCCATGGGTTCAAATACACTCTTAAGTTATCTGCATCTTAATTCAGTTGTCTTATTTTTAAAATAGGGGCAATGCCATCTACATACCTTAGTTAAAAATAATTAAAATATAGTATATAAAGTATCTAACACTTAAAAATGAACGATTCTTTTCCATCTTATGTAATTAATAAATAATTTTCTCCATTCAATTAGTGGATGACACTGTAGATGCCTATCCAATAGCTAAACATCCCCACCACCTTTCTTGACAAAAATTATACCAATTTTGTTGACTTTGTAGGCAGCCACATGTTCAGGGAAGGGCCCTCTCTCTAAACTCTGGAGATGAGTCTGGTTAGTCTAGTCTAGTGACCAGAAAATAACCTGGAGGGCTTGTTAGAACACAGATTATTGGGGCCCATCCCCCGAGTTTCTGAATCAGAAGACCTGAGGTAGGATCTGAAAATTTATTTCTAATTAAGTTCCTCAGTAATGCTGATGTTTCTGATCTGGGGATCATACTTTGAGAATCATAGGTGTAGGCTAATCATGGTGAAAGGCAAAAGAAATGCCAGATTAAATAAAAAATGCCGGCAGATAATAGCTAACATCCTAAAATTATATACCTAAAAAATGTTGTTTTTTAAGAAAAAGGGTAAAATAAAGATACTTTCTGAGGAACATAAATGGAATTTGGCACCAACAACTCCTCATCATTGCATAAGGAGCAACTCAAACAAAACTCCAACAAATTGTGTATATAACTTGAAAAACTGATTTTATATTTCTCTGACTGCAAAGGGCCAAATATAGCCAAAAAGAAGAGGATATTTGTTCAACCACATATAAAAAATACTATGGTAATTATGATAGCCAAAATGTATTTTCTCAGTCCTAAATAATGACAAGTCAATATTTTATTCTGGATTGGTATGTGCCTAGCTAAAAGATACATTTCCCAGTTTCCCTTACAGCTAAGGAATGGAATATTAAAGAAGGCTGTACACAGAATTGTTGCCTTTTTCCCCGTTATTCCCTTTCTCTTCCTGTTTTCTGCTCAGGAACACAGATATCATAACTGTGACTCTGAATAAATACTTTGTACCTCCATATGACCGTCAAGATAGGAAGCACACAGTGAGGATGAAAGGGCAGAAAAACTGAAGGGGTCAAAATCCCCTATGTCACTGTGGAGCCATCCCAAACAGGCTGCCCACTTCTGTTCTTCTCTCAAAAAAGTGACACTGTATCTCATTTAATGTATTGTTTATGTTCTCTGTCACTAAGAGCCAAACACAACAAAAAAGATGTGAAACCACCATTGGAACACACAAATAGATCATAGCAGAGAACACAGAAATAGATCCATCTATATATGGAAACTGGATTATATAATGGAGCTGATGGTAAAGAGTGGACTTTTAATTGAATGGGCTGGACAACTGGTTATCTATATAGAAATAAATGAAAATGAAACCTTACTTCTTCACACCATACCCAAAAATGAATTCCAGTGATATTAACAACTTATATTAAAAAACCAAACTATAAAACTTTTAAAATAAAATATAGGACATCTTTATAATCTTAAGGAAAAGAATCTTTTGGTATACCTTTTCTAATAATTTAGAACAAATAAAACATAATCTCTTAAAAATATACACTTAATCACACAAAAATTTTAAATGCATCTAATCAGCAGAAGATAGCATGAAGAAATAAACAGACAACTCACACATTTGGAGAAAAATCAATATATGGGGTGGGCAAAAGTAGGTTTACAGTTGTTCTATGAAAATAATTAATAAATAATACAATTATAAACCTTTTTTGTCCCATCTGTATATTGAGTGTCAGAACAAAAAACTGACATCCATTAAAAACAAAAACAAAAGAACCTAATAAGATGAGCCAAACCATGATCAGTTATTTCCCAGAAGAAATACAAATAGTTAATAAATATTTTTAAAGATGCTCAAAAAATAGATAGGGAATACATATAATTAAAGATGCCTTATTACATTCACCAGATTGGTCAACAATTTAAAAATATTAAATCTGATTATAACAAGATTTGGCAAGGATAATGAGCAATGAGATTATTTCTTGCCCAGTACTAGTGGGATCCAACCACTTAAGAAAAACTTGACATTATAAAGCAAAGTTGAAGATGTGCATGCCCAGTACTTCTTAACATATACCATAGAGAAACCCTCCTATATTTGCCCTAGAAACATGTACAAGAATGTTCGGAGTAGTTCATATTAGCAAAAAGTAGAAACTAAAATGTCCACCGAGAGCAGAAAAAATAAATTATGGTATCCTACATAATAAAAGCTGAATATGCAAATCGACCAAATGGCAGGACGACCAGTCACTATGATGCACACTGACCACCAGGGGGCAGATGCTTAACCCAGGAGCTGCCCCCAGCCCTCAGGCCCCAGGCCAGCCAAGGCAGGTGCCAGCGGGGGCCTCTGATTGCCTTGCTGGTCGCCCCACAGATCGGCACTGATCGCCGGCCAGGTCTAGGAACCCTACCCGTGCATGATTTTCATGCACCGGGCCTTTAGTATTAATATAATGCCTCACTATATAGTAGTAAAATGAATAAACTATATGACAATCACACATATAGTGTTTAGTGAAAACAAGCAGGGTAAAAGGGTACATAGAGTGCAATTTTGCTTATATAAAGTTCAAAAACAAACTGAAATAATGTTAAGAATGTCTAGATATCTATAATAATAAAAGCATAATATGCAACTAGACTGAATGGCCCAACAGTGGAACGACCGGCTGGACGACCACACTATGATACCCACTGGTGCCAGGCCAGCCAAGGCAGGTGCGATGCGATTGGTCGGGGCCCCCGCCACTGCCCCGCAGAAGGAGGCCTAGGCCACTGGCCAGTGGGGCAATTAATCAAGGGAGATTCCACGATCGCCCCAGGCCACCTACCCACAGGCTGCAGCGGGTGGGTAGGCGCTGCAGTGGGTGGGCAGGGCCTCCCTCTGCGGGGCGATCAATTGCAGGGCTCCCGGAGTGTGAGAGGGTGCAGGCTGGGCTGAGGGACACCCCCGACCTCCCCGATTGCACGAATGTCGTGCACCGGGCCTCTAATATGAAATAAAACCACAAAGAAATGCAAAGGCATAATAAATACAAAACTCAGAATAGTCGTTGATGGTAAAGGGATGTGACAGTGAATGTGGAAGGATCAGGAAAGGCACACGATCATTCAAAGGTATTGATCACTATGGTAGAATCATGGATATTGATTTTATTGAGGTTCTCAAAGCTGGTTTAAATTAGACTCATCCGGAGGAGCTTTTAATAAAACTACCAATGCACAAACCCTACATCACATCAATTTAATCAGAACCCCTCATGGTAGAGTTCTGGCATTAGTACTTTTATAAAGTACCCAGGCACCTTACTTTTCATCATCCAGTGATTTTACTGAGCAGCAATAGGCGAGACCACTGCTTTATACTTCATGCACATTATAAGTACACTTTTTGATGTGTCTTTCTATAAAGTTTCCATTAAAAATCTTGCAGGATGGTAGCAATTACTTCATCATGTATAATAGCAAATGTCGGATTTGTAACAAAATCAATTAACTTTAAAACTAACATGAAATGGATATCTCTGTCTTATGGTAGTTGATTAAATTTTATTAACTTCCTTCTATTTCTTCAACTGTTTCTCAATTCACATTTGAAAGAACGAATAAAATAATTTTCACTTTGAAGTTATACAACCAGAAAAGGCTTCTCCCTTACCCCCTGCTATAAATTTTTTTTTATAATACCAAGTATTTTCTCAACAGCTTTACTACTGCCAAACAATCAGACCCCCAGCTCCCTTCCCCACATCCATAACTTACTACTTACCCTGAGCAAGTCATCTATACGACCTTCCTTCTTTTCCAGGTCCTGGTTTTTATTACTTTCTAATGCTGCTAATTTCAGCATTGTGAGATCAGTCTAAATGAAAGAAAGCTATTTTATTATCTCCATTATATATATCATTGCATGTAAACATTAGATTTTATTGATTCTAAAAAGCAAAGAAAATATTTGATTTTATGTGTGTATGTAAAAGGTATCCCAAAAAGTCTGAGTGCAGTTTTAAGTTTTAGTCAGAAGTACAAGTGCTACAAACTTACAAAGAAACATCTAAAGATTAATTATTTAAAAGTTTAGAATACTGATATATTCATTATTAAAATTCAATATAACCACTGCTTTATACTATCAACTCTGAATTTTGAACATGGCAAAAACTTTCATGAGCTGTTCACTGACTAAAAGCAATGTACTTACCATCCTAGCATAGAGAGAATCCAAAAAGAAGTTTTGATGCACGTACAACAGTTTAGACATCACCTAACAGAAAAAGTCTCGTGGCAATAAATCAGGCCACTGGGGTGGTCAAGCTCAACTCTCCCAACCCTTGGTCTGAGACAGTGTCATACAGAAACTGCCATATGTAAAAAGTTGAAATGAAAAACTTAGTACCCAAAATTAATAAAACTAAATAAGTGTAAAAGATATCCAATTAATTCAATTTTCAAATGATTTTTCTAAGTGTGCAGCATATATGAATATACATAAATATAGACCCCAAAATGAAGGCTTAGAAGTCCATTCATAATAAATATAACAGCTTCATGAAGACACTGATAACTTGTATGTTAAGTTAAAAAAGAATCAGTAAACAGAATTGACATATCATGGTGGTTCTGTTTATTTGTTTAAAACATCCATATATTTAACCAGTATGTAATAAAGGACAAAATGACAGTAAATTGGTTATTTCAATTTCTTATCTCTTATAAATTGTCTTTTTGTTTAGTAATAAACTTTCTTGATGCATAATTTTACTTTATGACTATGTCCAAAACAAAGAGAAGACATATAAGTTGTTTGTACAAAATTGGTCACTTGTTTCTTAGAAATCATACCAATAAATTTCAGTAACTATTTACCTGAGTAATTTTAAAGGATAACTGCTTTGGTTGTACAATAGAGTGGTCCCCAAAAGCTACTGCAATAGGAGAAGGGCTACTAGGTCGAACCTTAAAAAAAATTGAAATTTTACATTAGCAAGAAAAAAAAAGGCTTCTGTTTAGCAACAACTACTTAACAACCCCCCCCATCACTTTTTAAATCCTCACCTGAGATATGTTTATTGATTTTAGAGAGAGAGAGGGAGTGAGGAAAGAAGAGAGAGAAACATCAATCAGTTGACTGATTGGGGATGGAATCCACTACTTAGGTGTGTGCCCTGACCAGGAATCGAACCCGCAACCTTTTGGTGTATGCGATGATGCTCCAACCAACTGAGCCACCCAGTACAGGGCAACATTTCTTAAGTTTTTGTTAGGATAATAAATTTAATTAAAAAATAACTGAATTTAAAACTTTTAACCACCCTTTAGTCAATAAGCATTTATTGAGTACCTCCCTCACATAAGGCCCAGTGAAAGATAATTATATATTCCCTGCACTCAAGTTTACATTCTTGTGCCATAAAGGAAACTGTAATGCTTTTAATCAGTTAAATAAAACAAGGCTAATACATCATGTTAAAACAGAAATGTTAAAAATATTATGTTTTAAAAGTAAAACTGAAAAAAGATCTTAACACAGAACTCTTAGTATTAGGGACAATAATGCATGCTAAAATATAGTAGAGATCAATTCACTGATGAGTTTTGTGGCTTATCTAGTCAATAGTTTTAAAACACATTCAATGGAAGATTATATCACTGTATCAATACTAACAACACAATTCTTAGTTATTATTGAGTATTATGCTTTGTATATGGCAATATGATGTGCGCCAAGGTACAAAATGATTAAGGAACAACTCAGTATATGTCTATAGACAAGGACCAGTAGGGCACACTGGAAGTACAATCAAGGAAGTTACTTAAATAAATAAGAGATACTCTGATTTTCAAAAATCTTTAATTCATTTTTAAATTACTGAAAGCCAATATAGTTTTTCTGGTTAGCCACTGAATTTTCACATAATGAAAGTAAAGAAAAAATGAAATCTGATGTATAAAACAATGTAGATAGAAGAACTAGGTCTTAAAATATTAGGAAAAAAACAAAGTGATTAATTTTCAGGTCCAATACTGAACTCAGGTCCTATACTGAATCAAATAATCCAAGGCTGATGGCTACCTATCTTTTTCTTAAAGATACCCACAAAGGAATTATGCAATCATTTCAGTGGTTGAGAAATTTATTTCATAAGTAAGTTAAAAGTTAGAAATGAGTTACTTGATATGGACTGATTTTATAAGAGTATTCACAGACTCAACAGCCTTCTTTTACAGAAACATTACTTTTGGGATATATTTAGTTCAGAAAAACTTTAACTTATAAGAATCTCACTTTCAGAAGTAAAGTTCTAATAACATCAGATCACTAAAAAGGATTCAATTCACCTCACAAAATGATTTTTTAAAAAGATAAACAATATATAGAGAAATTCTCAATAAAGACAATCTATATACATAAAAGGCTAAGTGACCATCTGACCATCCAGTACATATGGCGTGCACTGACCATGAGGGGGCAGCCGTTCAACACAGGAGCCGCCGAGCTGCTGTGAGTTGGCAGTGGCGGTTCTTGGGTGACGCACCCTAGAACCAGAGAGAAGGGATCCCAATTCCTCACGGGGCCATGTGATTCCACCTTTGGCCATGGGTTACTGGGGCACTGTTGGCCATAAATCTGGTTTACTGCCGAGCTGCAGTGACTTGGCACCATTGGTTCTCGGATGACACACTCCGGAACCAGAGAGGAAGGAGCCCAATTCCTCGCGGGGCCACGTGATTCCACCTTCAGCCATGGGTTATGTTGTTGCTCGGGCACTGTTGGCCCCAAATATAGTTTACTGCCAAGCTGCAGTGACTTGGCAGCAGTGGTTCTTGGGTTAATTAATTTCCTTTCAATGTGCAAGAATCCGTGCACCAAGCCACTAGTAAATTATAAAAGTTACTCAGTATACATAACTTCCCAGACATAAGACTATGCATGTAAATACTTACAGATGAGGAAGGAGTGGAATGTGAGTGTGAATTCTGAGGAGAACGGATTGCAGGAGGTATGCCTCTTACTGGACTTGAGCCATTCCCACCTTGGTACTGAGCAAAAAAGGAAACATCACTATTAAAACAGGTTTAGATAAATGTTATTTTGGACATAGCGTTAAGAATTTAAATATATATTATTTACATCAAACAGTCATTTAAATAGGTCAAGAAAAAGCAAAACTAATATTATTCACAGCTAAGTCCTGAAAGACTAAAGAGAGAATAATGATCATAAGAACATGACAAGACTATGTCTTTTACAGATCCTTATTTTTTGAACTTTCTGACTATATATAACTTGTTGTTGTGGCAGACTCAAAGACAAATTCCTCCAAAATAATAAACATATCTTATTTTCCTTCAAATTTTAGCACAAAACTGGTCTAAGACTCAACCATAACAATGATGTTATAACATTGTAAATGTTTGTTGAACCAGTATAATCCCTAATCCCCCAAAATGTTAACATGTTTACATGTAGATGTTAGTGAACATAACCATCTTAAAACAGAATCATCATGCTCACGATCTGTTAAATATCTGAATGTGCATAGCACTATAAAAAAGAATTCTACAGACCAAGTCCCTTCCTTTTAACACTACAAAATCTAACAAAAATAGATCCTTTCTTACACGCTTGACATGTATTACAGTGCATGACTTAGCTACATAAGAAGGGAAGCTGCCTTTCTCATTTCTCATATTTCTGTATCAAGAATGGGAGGAGAAAATTTGTTGTTACTGGCTTCCTCTCAGGGTATTCAGCATGAGCAGGAGAGATGGGGACTTCCTAGTGTGTTCATTAAACAACTTCCTGCAACGTAGGGACTTTGTGTATTCTATTTCAATCTGTAACACCCAGCACATAGTCGGCGTTCAAGAGACTTGACATTTTATTTGAATTGATCCCATCTTTGGCAAAGATTCTTAATGATATTAACAGCGAGGGGTTAAAGAGCATTAGGTATCTTGTGATCAACTACAGTTTTACCTTAGAATCTGTAAACCAAAAAAACCAGTGGAAGGTAGAAAAAAAAATGTTTTTAATGCTGCACTTTCCCTAACTAGCAAATTCTGTTCTCATTCTCAAGTAAATATATTTTTCAGCTGAATAGATAATGTTTGTTGTTTTAATAATCATTGTTTTATAATGTGAAACTGGTAGCCAAAGGTGTTTCTGTGTAGAAGCAAGGAAACATTGCAGGATTGAGTAAGAATCTAAATCTACCACTGCTTATTATTTTCAGGGACTCTTAGACTGACATTATTTAATCTCCATCCACAGGGCTCAAATGGTGCTGTGGTGCAGTAAATCCTGTATTGACAACAGAAAGAATTCTGAACTGGAGGATGCTAGACGTTAAGTTCTAAACTCTCTTCCCTTTAGAATTTGTCATTAGGTAGGCCACTTTACATTTCTGGTCCTCAGTTTCCTCATTTGTAAATACCTATTTCGCAGATTTCTCAAGTTGTTATAAGCAAACATGTGAGAAAATACTTTGAAAATTATGATGTGCCATTCCAATATAGAAGTAAATTTTAATGTTCCTAGAAAGGACATCACATAGACCAGTGGTTATCAACCTTCCTTATGCCACGACCCTTTAATACAGTTCCTCATGTTATAGTGACCCCCAACCATAAAATTATTTTTGTTGCTACTTCATAACTGTAATTTTGCTACTTTTATGAATCGTAATGTAAATATCTAATATGCAGGATGTATTTTCATTGTTACAAATTGAACATAATTAAAGCATAGTGATTAATCACAAAAACAATATGTAATTATATATGTGTTTTCCAATGGTCTTAGGCGACCCCTGTGAAAGGGTCGTTCGACCCCCAAAGGGGTCGCAACCCACAGGTTGAGAACTGCTGACATAGACTGAAGTTTTGCTCTAATCAAACAGATAATCAAAAGTTGGCTTTGTGCTTCAAAGAAATTATCTTAGCCCATCCCAGACTTATATGAAGAACTAGAAGAGATGAACCAAAGAATTTATTTACTTATATGGACACAGGTGATAGGGGGATGAAGACATTTGGGGGGGAGGGGAGGATTAGGGGCTGGAAGGAGGAGAGTGAAGGGGGAGAAAATGGGAGACATCTGTAATTCTATCAACAATAAAAAAGTATATATTTAAAAAACAAACAAACAAAAAAACCCACTAGAGATGTTCCTCAATGAACTTACTTCAAAATAGTCGCTAATTTTGTGGCCACGTCCCCCAATACTTTTCCCTAAAATATAAAAGTAAAAAATGTTGTAGTTTTAATTAAGTCATTAATATTACTTAATGTCTCCTAATTTCATTAAAGCAAATCGATGATTTTTTTTAAAAGCTAAAAGGCAGCTGTATAATTGAAAAACCTATAAATAAAAAATAAAAAAATTTTGGTTAACACAAATCACAACAAACTGGCAATAACATGCTTTAATATGAATGCTATTTCTAAAAATGTTTTCATTCTCTAAAAACTATCTCCAAATTTATAGGCTTTTTTTTAATAAACTAGATTTTAAATACTGTACCTTATATGACCACATTATCGATACAGTGATCCAAATAATTATAGGTCACAATTCTTTAATTAAAAGTTTTGCTCTAAAATGAACTCAGTTTTATAAAAACTGATTTCGGAAGTTCTTAAGAAATATGGTGTATAGACTTTTTTTGGATGGGAGTCAACCACCCTTCATTAGAACTATACAGAATACATGATTTCTTCAAGTTACAAACGAAAAAATAATGATACCACAGAGTCAAAAGTTTTAAATAACAAAAACGTATAGATTTATCAATTCAATAGCAACTTGAATTTATTTTATTCAACAAATATTTCTTGAGTGGTTATTATATGCCAGGCATTACTGAGGTGAATAAATGATACATTTAAAGTTCAACAACCTTAAATTTGTTCTTGGAAAAAGGTAGAGCAATATTTTTTTAAACTAAGTAACAACTCAGAACTACAAATGTTACCTAGAAATTGTGAACAAAATTTTTGTACAGGTTTATTTAGAGGTCAGAGAAGACGATAAAGGTTTTGTACCAAAGGAATGCCTCCTGCCTGCAACAGCTTTCCTGGATTCTAAAGAAGTACTGTTTAAATGAACACTGAGACATTTTGGGTTACCTACCCGCAAGCTATTTGCCCACTGAACCCAAATTTTGTTCTGTTAACATTCCTTCTCCTACATAGCACATGTAACTAATCCTGCCTCAACTCCTAGTTCTCCTTCTGGTAAGAAATCCAATTTTGTTCAGCTATCATCCCTTTTCCATAAAGCCTGTATTTCTGAGAGGAACTTTAACTCATTTTCCATTTTAGAGATGGGTCTGATTTTTTTTTTTCAGGGCAGTAATACCTTTGCTGGACATAAGTGGTTTTGGAATGGACACATGTCCCAGTTCTTATCTATAGAAAGGCAAGAGAGGTTTGCTTTAGAATTGAAGAAGTCACTTTAAAGAAAGAGAAGAAACCCCACAGTAAGCCAGCCCTTTTCTTTCTTTCTGTTTTAGTATGAGCCTCTTTGGGTTCATTTTGTTTGGGGAGTCTGCGTTTCCTGGACTTGTGTGTCTATTTCCTTCACCAGGTTAGGAAAGTTTTCTGTCATTATTTCCTCAAATAAGTTTCAATTCCTTGCTCTAATCGTCTCTTCTGGTACCCCTCTGATGCAAATGTTCGTACAGAGGCCCCTTAATCCAGCCCCTTTCTGAAAGCAAATATGAGTGGGGAAACTGACATGAGCAAGTCCAATTAAAACTGGCAACCAGCCTAAAACCAAAAGAAAATCAGACAATTCTGCATATGGCAGAACACAAAGAAAAAAAACTGGGTTCTTAAAGACATGTTGAATCAACCAACCCAGAAGTCCTTCCCTATTTTGAGATCTGTTTTTAACTGAGTTTTTAAATCTGAAGTTGAAACTATCATAATTAATTTATCTTTACACTATATATAAAGCTCCAATCACATTAACCAAACCTTGGGGAACTACATTAAGACCAAAAAGGAGCTCAGGACAGACTGACATACAAAATACCACACACCTAGAGAAAAGTGCTGCAATGACTTAACTCCTTCCTTCTGGAAAGACGACTGCTACAAACACATACCTTGGTGCCAGTGCCATTTAGAAGTCACAAAATATTATATGATTATGTAATATAATAATATATGTATAAAATCGCTATTATATAGATTTTAAGAGACCACTTTATTACATTTAATATAGAGGGCCACATTAAATAATACTATTTTGTTATCCATTGTAAGAAATTTTGAAGTCTAACAAAAACAATTTTCTTAGCTCATATCATAAAAGATAGGTATGCAAAAAAGGAGAAAAAACAGATCTGAAAAGAAAAAGATGATGCTTTAATAAAAGTATCTCAATTATTTTCATACTAGAGGCCTGGTGCACAAAAATTTGTGCACTGGTGGTGGTGGGGGGGTGTCACTCAGCCTGGCCTGCGCCCATCTGCAGTCGAGGACCTTTTGGGGGATGTCCACCTGTCGACTTAGGCCCACTTCCCGGGGAATCAGGCCTAAGCTTGCAGTCAGACATCCTTCTGGCAGTCAGGGAGCCCTCAGGGGATGTCCGACTAAAGGCTTAGGCCCCAAGGGAGCTGTGATGAGGAAGCTGGGGTGACAAAGGAGCCACGCTGTCCCGCCCCACTGCCCTGTGTCAGGTCGCACATGGGATGCCTGGGCGGGCTGGTGGATCACTGCTGCCCTGCCCGACCGCCCCAGGTCGGGTCGCAAATGGGATGCCCAGACAGCAGCTGGGCGGGTCGGCCGATCGCTGCTGCCCCACCATGCTGCCCTGGGTTGGGTCGCACATGGACGCACGGGCGGGCCGGCGGATCACTGCTGTCCCACCTGGCCGCCCCGGGTCGGGTCGCACAT